TCAAGCAAATAATCTAAATTGCGGTATTGCTTGGCATCATTATTCTTAGTTTCTTTCAAAATAAATCTAAAATTATTCTTTACAAAGTATGTGTAATACCTATCGTTGAATAGACAATTCGCTAACATACGAAGCCTACTCAAAGTCCTTTGATACTTAAAAAATAATAATAATAATACCAAAAAATGAAAAGGGTTCCAATAGCTTCGATAAAAAAGGAAGATGGCCAATTGTATATCACAGTACTGTTTTTGGCACTATATTTTATAACCCCACATGATCCCATAGTCTCAGCTCCTTTCTGAATCGCCTCCATTTGTCAGTTGTATGTCCACTCACACCTTGTTAACACTTATTTTCTTCAACCTATTAAAATGCTCTTTCTTAACAAATACCTTAATAAAAGATTACACTGAGTAAACATACCTTAAACATTCCTTCATGAATAATGGCTACTCTGCCTCTCGTCCTTTCTTTTACTTGATCCCTCTTTCAGCCCCCTTGAGAAATGGAACGGGTGACTTCATCCTGCACCATCCTCAAAGCCTTAGATAATAATAATAATAATTTATTCTCAAATAACTGTTTGTTACATGAGGCATGCCAGTTTACAGGCAGGATCAAATTGTTGTAAATGATACAATGTCCACTGTAGTAAATTACTTAGATGGGTTGATAATTTATAAGATATGAATGTAGATGGTTTTAATCAGTATCACAGTTTGCGCGCTTCATGAAAGTTGCGTTGCGAATGTGCAACTGATGGTCAAGGATAGGTCCATTGAAGATAGGAGCTTCTGAAATTTGCAACCTCATGTCCCTTTGGAATATCTGTGGAATATGATCAGTATGTTAATATGATACAAACGGGCTTTATTAATGATTACAACACGAATACTTTGCAAAAAATACCAATAAATAAAAAATATTTATACGAAATTTATAACGAAGAGAATTAGAACGCTTTCTTTTACGACCAAGCAAAACATAAATTGAATTTGTGTTTAATATAGGACTCACTGATTTCGTGCCGACCGGTACTCCTCGTTCTACTGACCGACGAGAACAAACTAGGTCTGTATTTTGAAATACTGGAAGGTGAGTGAATACTTAGGCTTTAGTGTTCTGGCATTGACTTAGATGTCTGTAGTGAACTAAGTCAACCAACCTCAGTTGTTACAGTGCTATGAAGTTGCTGGAGAATATTCAAAAACCAGAACACATGTTGTTGGAATAGTGTATCATTAATAAATTACAAAATCCACAGGCACGCAAAAGACAAACACACTGGGGAGCAAAAGTATGTGAGTGAGAGTCGAAATATCCGTATGCTTTCTCTGAGGTTACTCAGTTGTAAGTCATTGATTGACTGTGTAAACAAGAAATGGGAGGATAGGTAAAAATTGAGGTGCAGACATGCGTTCAGTCAGACTCACACATACGTTTACATAGTGGTTTGACTGCCTAAATCACAGCAGGTAGGTAATAAAAAATTTAATAGGCTTACTATAATGTCACATCTAAATGTACCCTTCGGTACATTTGAACGGTACTTCTGTTAAATTATGTCTTGCGTAATCAAAGTTATCACTTTCTTCTAAGAATAAGGATTTTCCATGGCTTCTTGTTGATGAAAAACATTTTACACAAATATTCATGCGTGTATGTAATGCAACTCCCCGAATAGCCATAATGTAAGTGATGACTCTACTGAAAGTCGGGTTTTTGCCTTAACCGAAAACTTCCCAGTCCTAACCTTCCTGGGAAAAAGAGATCACACTGCTATAGCTTTTAATTTTATTGGCAGATCTGGACTAAAATATCTTATTGAAAACTGTCGTTATAATTTTAAATGTATAAATGTCAGTTTTAAAGGAAAATTTACAGCAGATCAACTTGGAAGCTTGTCTTTAACTTGATCTGGACACTTACGGAGGCTTTTTAATGCTGACAATTTTGCGTGCTACGAATCAGTCTGTCACATAAATCAACCCTAAAGACCAAACCAACCTAAAGTCACAAGGACCACGGCCTTCCAATGCCAGGATCCAAAAGATATAAACGAACTGGTATTGACGGCATATGTGAGCACCTCAGAAAAATCATGAGCGGCAATTAGCGGGACCAGACAACATTCCAGCAGAAGCACTGAAAGCAGATTTAGCGGCAACTACAAAAATACTCCACATTCTCTTCAGCAAGATTTGTGATGAAGAACAAGTGCCAACAGACGGGAAAGAAGGACTTCTGATCAAGGTGCTAAAGAAAGGCGATCTCAGCAAGTGTGATAACTACAGAGTCATCACTCTTCTCTCAACACCAGGAAAAGTCTTCAACAAAGTATTGTTAAACAGAATGAAGGTCTCCGTAGATGCCCAACTTCGAGACCAACAGGCAAGATTCCGCAAGGATCGATCGTGTACAGAACAAATCGCAACTCTACGGATCATTGTGGAACAATCAATTAAATGGAATTAATCACTCCACATCAACTTCATTGACTATGAAAAAGCATTTGGTTGCGTAGACAGGACAAAACCATGGAAACTCCTTCGACACTACGGAGTGCCTGGGAAGATGGTCAATATCATACAGAATTCATGTGATGGATTACACTGCAAAATCGTGCATGGAGGACAGTTGGCAAACTCGAAGTAAAGATCGGTGTCAGGTAAGGTTGCTTATTCTCACCCTTTCTCTTTCTCCTGTTGATCGACTGGATCACGAAGACGCCAACACCTGAGGGGAAGCATGGGATACAGTGGACAGCTAGAATACAGCTGGACGCTTTAGACTTCGCAGATGATCTGGCTCTTCTATCGCACACACAACAACAAACGCAGGAGAAGACGACCAGTGTAGCAGCAACCTCAGAAGTAGTAGGTCTCACCATACGCAATGGGAAAGCAAGATTCTCCGATACAACACAACATGCAACAGTCCAATCACATTTGACGGAGAAGATTTGGAAGATGTAAAAACCTCTACATATCTGGGCAGCATCATTGATGAACAGGGTGGATCTGATGCAGATGTGTAGGCGCGGATCGGCAAAGCAAGAGTAGCATATCTACAATTGAAGGACATCTGGAACTTAAAACGACCATCTGCAAGCCAACACCAAGGTCAGGATTTTCAATAAAAAAGTCAAGACAGTTCTACTGTATGGGGTAGAAACTTGGAGAACGACGAGAGCCGTCATCCAGAAGGTACAGGTGTTTATTAACAGTTGTCGGATCCGTTGGCCAGACACTATCAGCAACAACCAACTGTGGGAGAGAACAGACCATATCCCAGAGGCGGAAGAAGTCAGGACTAAGCGCTGGAAGTAGATGGGCATACACTGAGGAAAGTACCCAACTGCGTCACAATGCAATCCCTCTCTTGGAATCCCCAAGGCCAATGGAGAAGAGGAAGACCAAAGAACACATTAGGTAGAGAAGTGGAGGCAGACATGAGATAAGCATCAGTACCAGATTAGGCTGGTGTTTAGATTGGCATCCAACCGGGAGAACTTACTCCACCCCTCATTTTGTCAAGCCGAAACCGGAGTTTCCAAATTACTAGGTAACCCTATGAAAAACCGTGGAGATTCCTCAAGGTCCTGATACAACGGTATTTTTCAACGTTTTATCCATCACGTACAACGTGCATTGATTACGGATTCGCTTGCAATTCAACAGGAGTCTTCAAGGTAAACCTAAGCGCTAGATTGATGCATCGGAAACTGCAGCGTCTAAATAAGAGCACTTTTCGTGTCTCAGATATGGTCTACCCTGCCTTACTGAGAAAAGCGGCCTCAACCTTGAAAACACGTAAGCGTAATGTTCTCACATTAGCAAAGCCAAGCTCCGATCCCAGACAATAGTCATCTGACTTATATCATAATATTTTTCAAAAGAGACCGATACAGTTTAACTACAAACTATTGACAACACGTCTTTCAGCGTCATCAAATCTAGTGGAGTGTTTGGTATACATTTGTTTACACAACTACTTGCAGTTCATTAACTTCTTTCACTCCAACAACAAGGCTTCAGGAAGGACCACTTCTGTACTACTGATCTGTCGATTATGATGAATGGACGGACAACTATTGACGACTTTAGTGGAAGGTGGATATGATATACCTCGATTTCTCAAAGGCATTTGACGGGGTCAGTTTTATGCTTTCCACCCGATCCTTAAGTTTTATTTGGCCCCATCTAGCGTACAAAATATCTTTCTTCCCTAATCCCAAAGCGATTGAAATATTCCGAAACATATCCAAAAGAGAGCCACAAAATCATCTCAAGGACTCAAATTCAGATCTTATGAAAGGCATCTTGAATCACTGTATCTTTATATATCGGAGTATGGGTGCCTCAGCGATGATTTTTTTACATCATCCGAGAAACTCCCGGGCACCCACAAATTACACATCCAAACGCAGTCCGAGCAAAAATGTTCGGAGCAATAACCAGAAATCATAAACAACGTTGCAATATTGACTGTAGGCGTAACTACTCTTTGCGAGCAGTCAAGTCTCGTAACTCACTGCCAGCTGAGATCTTTCAGTAGTCATTCAGTAAGGAACGTGAGGTATTCCCTAGGACTCTAAACTATTCAAACGTGATGGCGTTTGAAGCGGACGGTACTGAGTTCGAGTCCCAGAGTGAACATCAACTCTGAGATGCAGGTACATCCAGCTGACGAGTCCCGAACAGGACGAAACGCGCGTCCTGAATTCCACTGCTAGCCACTATCCATCTTTGCTTATTCAAACATCTGTTGAATTAATAATCCCAATCATTTAATCACCAAACTGAACAATAAACGTCACTAACCAGTTCAGAGATCTAAAGGATTCTCCTTTTAATGCAATGAAAAACAGTCTTAGAAAGCCTGTTACTATTTCATCAAAATCTGAACTTTGAATCTACCTTAGTTTAAACGTAGTTTCGTGAGCGTTGCAAACAGGTTGTTGACGGTGGTTACTTTCGTTTCTGGTCAGGCTTAGTATGTGTGCACTAAATGCGTAAGTCTAAGAGTTGTTTTTAAAAATTTCGTATATTCTTTTCGAACAAACCTGATAATCATACCTATAATCCAATAACAGGAATCCAAGTAATGATCCTATATCAGGGGAAAGAGTCAAATTCCATCGTTTGATTGTTGACGAACCGATAAAAGATGATAACTCGGTAGTTTATTTATCTCAAGTGAGTGTACTTTTGCACTAATCACCATCTTCCAGGCCAAGATGGATGCAATGAATCTGTTTCGTGGGGACACTGTTTTGGTCAAGGGTAAGAAACGTAAAGAAACGGTGTGTGTAGCCATTGTGGACGAGAGTTGCCCAGACGACAAGATTCGTTTAAATCGTTGTATTCGCAGTAATCTACGAGTAAAGCCAGGAGATATTGTCAGTTTAAAGAGTCTTCCTGACATCCTCTACGGGAAACGCATTCACGTGCTGCCTATTGACGATACTATTTTTGGTCTTACAGGGTAATGTCTTTTGTGTGTTAATGAATCTCTAGAAATTTATATGAAGCTTTTCTAAAACCATACTTTTTGGCTGCCTACCGACCTGTACATAAAGGCGACATATTTGTCGTACGTGGTGGGATGCGAGCTGTTGAGTTCAAAGTAATTGAAACAGACCCGTCACCTTATTGCATTGTTTCTCCCGACACTACTATTCACACAGAAGGAGACCCAGTTAAACGAGAGGTACGTATGGTTTGATTACTCATTATTCACTTATAGGATGAGGAAGAAAAGCTGAATGAAATAGGTTATGACGACATAGGAGGTTGTCGTAAGCAGCTGGCTCAAATAAAAGAAATGGTTGAGTTACCTCTTCGTCACCCTCAGCTGTTCAAAGCCATAGGTGTGAAACCTCCTCGCGGAATACTCCTTTATGGACCCCCTGGTACTGGAAAAACCTTAGTTGCTCGGGCAGTAGCCAATGAAAGTGGAAGCTTTTTCTTTTTAATCAATGGGCCGGAGATAATGTCAAAATTGGCCGGCGAGTCAGAATCTAACCTACGCAAAGCGTTCGAAGAGGCAGAAAAAAATGCACCAGCCATTATTTTTATTGATGAACTTGATGCGATCGCCCCTAAGAGGGAAAAAACCCACGGTGAAGTAGAACGCCGCATCGTTTCTCAATTATTGACATTAATGGATGGTCTAAAACAACGGAGTCACGTAATTGTCATGGCTGCTACGAATCGTCCTAATAGTGTTGACCCCGCATTGAGACGCTTTGGTCGTTTTGATCGCGAAATAGAGATAGGTATTCCTGATAGTATTGGGAGACTGGATATTTTGCGGATACACACCAGGAACATCCGGCTGGCTGAAGATGTTGAACTTGAGCAAATAGCCAATGAAGCTCACGGTCACGTAGGAGCTGATCTAGCTTCGTTGTGCTCAGAAGCTGCCCTCCAACACATAAGAAATAAGATGAATCTTATTGACTTAGAAGACGACACAATTGACGCTGAAGTGTTGAACTCGTTGGCCGTAACGATGGATGACTTTCGTTGGGCTTTAGGAAAGAGTAATCCGTCCGCTCTTCGCGAGACCACAGTTGAGGTACCAAATGTCACCTGGGATGATATTGGTGGGTTAGAAAATGTGAAACGAGAGCTCCAGGAACTGGTTCAGTATCCCGTTGAACATCCTGATAAATTCCTGAAATTCGGTATGACTCCTAGCAAAGGTGTCCTGTTTTATGGTCCGCCAGGTTGTGGTAAGACGTTGTTGGCGAAGGCGATTGCGAACGAATGTAAAGCCAATTTTATCAGCATCAAAGGACCCGAACTCCTTACTATGTGGTTTGGTGAATCTGAAGCAAACGTTCGGGACATTTTTGATAAAGCTCGACAAGCGGCACCGTGTGTGCTTTTCTTTGATGAACTGGACTCGATTGCCAAAGTAAGTAGCATTTTACCACTTTAATTGGTTGAGTTTGTCATTTACATGTAATGCTTATATAGCAAGTCTATTTGTATTCGAGAAGTGTTATGCAATTAGCAGGCGTTTCAAACCAACTTTAAATTTTACATTTTGCAAGACCTGTGTTGCCTAGGTCTGACTTAATGAAACGCTGTGGATTTGACTAAGCTTGTTGTTTCTGGTCCGTTTTGGTATACATGCTATAAATCAAATGGCGTGCAAGCAAGTATTGTTCAGCCTTTCGAAACTGTGACTTCGCTAAAGTGCCATATCGAGGAACAAGTGCACTCCTGTTGCATTTGGATGTTCTTAGTTATTCTCTCAAATATTAGTTTCTGGCGTCTTGATAGTTGCTCGTAGGCTCAAATTCCTGTTCACTATTGTGCTGTTCTAATCTACAGTTCACCAACAACTCTGATCTTAGTATCTACCTTTCTGTAGATATTAGAGACAGTACTGAGAAATGGAAATGTTTGCCGTCCATAGGGATCATGCTGTTTATTCAACTAATCCATGTCGATATCCTACTCTAACGTAACGTATAAGCAGGTTACTAGTGTTTCAGTCCTGTATACCATGTATTTAGCTGGTAGACCATCCCCTACATTAAGTTTCGTCAGTATTTTTCATTTTTTTGTACAAAACATCCAATAACTGCTTTTCCTAATCAGTCCCTAGTTTGTACGTTATGGCTGCTCAGTGTCTGATTTGCTGATTAACCTCGCTAAAATATTTTTTTTTTAAATGGGATATGGAGCAAGGATATGGAAGTGTTGTTAATTTTTTGGTCGAAATAGTTACTGCTAATTGATTAACGAGTAATTAGATGGTGAGTTATTTATTACATATCTCTTCATGCCGGTAAATGTCACTGATATTTTCGTCCCAATAAGCGCGTTCCCCATTGCAATGTTCACTTCCCTAGGCTCGTGGAGGTAGCGTTGGTGATGCTGGAGGTGCTGCTGATCGTGTTATCAACCAACTTCTAACCGAAATGGATGGTATGTCTGCTAAAAAGAACGTTTTTATCATTGGTGCCACTAATCGCCCAGATATTATTGATGGGGCCATCTTGCGTCCTGGAAGACTCGACCAACTAATTTACATTCCACTGCCAGATGAAGCCTCAAGAGCTAATATTCTAAAAGCTAATTTAAGAAAATCCCCAATTGCAAAGGTAAGTTATACTTTTTGTCTGATCGTCATTAATGAATCATTTCAATATCGGTCTTCTACATTTTTGATGGAAGTATAGGATCTGTAAACTTAACTGCACCAAGCATAAAAGTGCCCTTCGATGATATTAGGAAATTCACACCACGTTTGCAGAATTATAAAATATGACTTTCGGATTTCGGCACCAGTTTGTTGGGATTGTCTTGAGTTACACTTGATGCTACTAATTTCGATTCCCTTCAAAGTGGTGAGTGTTCACCTTTAGTTCTAAATATGAAGGTGGGAGAAACTTAGTTTCCTTCGATTCAGCTATTTTGTAGTCTACCGGTTGACAATAAAAATCATATTTGTACTACCCATTGTGACTCGAAATTAGAGATATGTTAGTTATTGCCAGGTGATTTTTGTCTGATAATTCTCCCTAACTGTGCAATTATGCGTAAACCAAATTCTTTCTACATTTACCACAAAACTCTATTTATTTACAAACCCACGGTACTGTACTCCTTTCCGCTTGAATTTTGTAAATAATGGTTACTCGGTACTCTGACAACATCTAGATTCCCATCACGCGAAGTGCTTTGTACTACGAAGCTTCAAGTGTTTGCCAAAAATTCTAGCTTCTCCCTCTAGGGGGTTACCATGCTCTCAATCTGATTGAGTTCTTTTTACTTCAGTGATAGTAAATGTGACGATTTGAGCTTATTCCTTGCATCACACGTTGTTTAGGGGTAACCTAAGTTGTCGCGCAAAATTCGGCTGCGTAATAGCATACAGCGGAATATTATGCTATCGATGGTACTCCTGAGTCTGAAAAACCATCTTGCTTATCATTGCCGCACTAACATATTGTACCTTTTTGCTGTTGCAGTGTTCTGTAGTAGTCTTTTTAGCCAAAATTGTCTGAAATATGGCTTCAGACTAGTGCTTATATTGCTGATGTGTAGAACTTACAGACTTACGTTCTTTGCTAAAAACAATCAGTTTAGTCAGCTTCAGTTCAGTGAGACAGTTTTCCCGGTATAAAGCGTTTGGTTTCCTCAGTAATAAATTTTAAAAGTGTATGCAATTTTGCTGCCTTTCTGTTAAGCTTATATAATCACTTGTAAAATACCAGACATTTTGTGTGCCTCTATGATCCTCCTCTTTTGTCGAGTGTAAACAAAACAAATCAGAAACGTTTTAAACCGACTGGGTGATAAATTCGAACCAAAATCTACTCATCGGAAAAAAACAAGCAATTATTTTGCAACCACTCGCTTTGTATGTCGCAGTTTCAAACCCTTTTCAATCTAGCTAGGTAATATCACTGGTCTTTATAGTTATAACTTAACTGAATCAGTACTTTTCGAATCATAATTTTTATAGTTATTCCTTTACACTACCATGGGTCGCCTATTTTTAGCCCATTTAACAGTTTATATTTTAGTGTTACACTTGAGACAAATTTCTTGTCTAAATTTTAGGGATTTGGGTAACAGATTTAAGATTGTATAATGTAGTCTTTTTAACTGTTTAACAGGCATTTACTGACTCTTGGTCTTTTTAATATTAGGATGTTGACATTAATTTCTTAGCAAAAGCTACTCAGGGATTTTCGGGTGCTGACCTCACAGAAATATGTCAGCGTGCCTGTAAACAAGCAATACGTGAGTCTATCGAGGCGGAAATACGTGCTGAATCTGAAAAGAAAAACAAGCCCAATGCTATGGTAAGTTAGTTTTTAGATGCCCAACTTTTATATGTGTTCTGGTAATGATTACGACAAGACTTTAATCACGTTGACAGTAGAGTATCTTTGCAGCATTCCAATGTTATTTTCATTTATTTACTTAAACACATAAATATTGATACAAGGAGGCATCAAATAGATATGCGCCACACAAATCATTCGATTTGTGTGAGGGATGGGATACTGTCTGGGTGCTTAAACCGAGACAGACGGTTTTCTTGGGGGACCACTCTCCGAGGTCTAGTCCACAGGGCAGTGGAGCAACATTCGGAGGTGCAGTCCCATCGTAGCCGGTGGCCAACAATGGGCTCATACGTCATTTGTTTCCTTAGGATCCTTGAGCCTTTGTGCCTCATTGGTTTGGAATCGGGGTTTTCCAAGTCCCCTAGGTGGACCCTCTGTATCTACCACCCCGGTTAAAGCGCCGGACACCCCAACCACGAGATGAGTAGGACTTCCCTGGCAATGGTTGTATGCACGTGGCCATGTGAAAGCATTTGGTGAGGGGGGGGCAGACTCTCCCCACTCTCGGCCGTGCCGGGGTATTTGGAGGCAATATTCTTCTTGGCTTTTTCAAATTCCTATTATAATGAATCACGTAGCTCTTCGGGTTCCAAACTATGCATTCGTATAACTCATTTATAAACGGAAGTAGGAAAAACGGTATGTTTTTTTGTTTGGAGCTAACGAGGATAACCTAAAGTTCATCCATTAGTCTAGAATAATTCTCAGGTTTTAGTATGCTGTAGAGCTTCTTTGCTAACTTTACGTCTTTTCTGACGAAGATTTGTATCCTTAGTCACATTCGTCACAGTCATTCTTCTGTGTTCATATCTATGTAAACATTCGTCATCAAAAAGTGATGGGCATAGAAAAACCAGCTATCATAGACCCTGTTCGTTTAATCGATAGCAAGTGTACAGCTGATTTGTATGTGCTGTGTATGATTTTCTTAACATCATTTTCAATATGTCTAACATTCTCAATCCACGTATGCATTGTGTAATCCCTACCATCAACCTAAAGTGTTTTTGCTCCAGCGATTTTCCCATGTATGTACTAAGATTAACAACCTCTCACAACCGTACAGTACCTTTTATCTTACGGCGGCAACCGTCTCTTGGATCCACAATTAATAAAGAGGTAAACAGGAAGTAAAATAAGTCGATGTATGTTCTAATCCTCAATCTTCATAAATTATAAACAGGTAAATATTGCCGAACATGTGTTGATTATAAATCGTTGCTTAATTTGTTCCACGTTTCTTAACCCCAATATCGAAAACCAATTAAACTTTCTTTGATTAACCAGGATTAGCAGTCTTCAAAGGATTCTTCGTTAAAAGTACGAATGCCAAATAGGATATGCTGGTTTTAGCTGATTTATTAGTACGGATCGCTAGCAACCGCTCACCCCATCACATTAATTGGTTGTCGTAGGAGTAGATAGACAAGCATTGGGAAGAAATAATAGGAGAAACTCTAAAATCCAACAAGGATAAGAATTTTCGATTAATGTGATGGAGATGAAAACACATAAGATAAACTGTTCGTCCGTAGCCGTAGAGGTAGATATAATCTCTCACTACACATAACCAAAGCGCTTTTAAATTTGACATTTCAAGATGTTAGTCATGAATAGGACATATGAACAACGCTTCTCGTCGTCTGAAAATGGGAGAATTTCGCCAAAAGGCAAGCTTCCACATATGAACAACCTAGATTTGTTAGTTAGAGTATACGATACGGAATCATACAATTTCTTACGCTTCTCAAGATTAATTGTTGTATATATCATTATTGATACTTATTTTGTTGGCTTCTTTTAGGAAGATGATTTTGATCCAGTGCCAGAAATAACTCGTCGTCACTTTGAAGAAGCAATGCGCTTTGCAAGACGCTCAGTGACTGAAAATGATGTACGGAAATATGAAATGTTCGCCCAAACATTGCAACAGTCAAGAGGAATAGGTAGTAATTTCAGGTTAGTGTATATATTGTTTTACCACGTTAATGCAAACTAACTTCTAGCTTGAGATTTTTATGTATTCTCGTTGTGCCCCATGTTTATTCAGAAAAATCCAATTAATGTTCATTTATTATTATCGCACAGTAAGAAAATATCATCTGCATACTCAAGGTCGAGAAGTCTTTCTCCAGGCAACAGATCCACACCACCATTACTTACATCCATCAGAGCTGTTTCCAGAATGTCATCGATGGTAAAGTTGAAGAGGAATGGTGAGATCGGGCAACCCTGTCGAACCCCACTGCTTGAATGGAACAATGGAGAGAGGTGGTTGCATGCCCTCAATCTGCCTGAGGTGTTTGTATATAGGGCTTTTAGGATGTTAATAAACTTCTCAGGCACACCCTTCTTCAATAGACAATTCCAGAGAACAGCCCTGTTGGCCTGTGATAAGTATGACGGTGTTCTAACATTTGGTGGAGGGTGAAGATATGATCAATACATCCTCGACCGGAACGAGAACCAGCCTGCTCCTCGCGAGTCAATCTTTCTCGGGTTTCGAACAACCTATGAAGTATGACGGAAGCCAATAGCTTGGACGCAATCGGAAGTAGACTTATCCCCCGATAGTTGTTACAGGAACGATGTGAGCCCTTTTTAAAGATAGGGACAATTATTGAATCATTCCATGACGTTGGTACACTGTCTAGCCCCCAGACCTTTGCAAACAACGTCGTCAATTCCTTAGTCAGAAAGTCACTACCATCTTTAAAAAGAGCCGGAAGTAAGTCATCTGGGCCAGGTGATTTGTAACGCTTCAAGAGTTGGAGTTCCTTGCGGACTTCCACCTCATTTGGTGGATCAGACTTCACCGGCCATGGAGGGCGGGACAGTCTGATCGGTGTTCCTGGAGCAGCAAGGCAGTTGAACTGCCCATCGTCCAAGACGTCGATGAATGTTGGCGGTTGGCATCCCGTCATCCTCACAGATTGTTTCGCTCACATCAGACTTTTTGCTGCCAGTGGCTCGGATGAGTTGGAAGGGCTTCCGGTAATTACCAGATGCAGCTGCTGCTTCCAGCTCATTAGCATGCTCCAACCGCCAGGATTCTCGGTCCTTACGCAAGCTTTGCCTGGTTTCATTACGTAACAGCCTTCGTTTGTGGTCAAACTCACGGTCATCCGGAGTAGACCGACAGGCTTCGATGGGTTGTAAGGAACCAGAAGAAACCTGGGTGCCCAGGCCGAAGCGGGTTGTTTTCTTAGGAGGCCACACCTCGAGCTTTTGACCTAAAGGTCTGACCCACAAGGCAGTGGGAGCATCGTGGGGGGATGCAGTTTTATGTTAGCCGGTGACCAACAATTGGTTCATAGGTAATTTGTTCTCCAGGATACTGTAGCCCATGTGCACCATTGGTTTGGAATCCGGTTAAAGCGCCGGACATTCACTTTTCGTCCTTTCATTTTCGTAAACAACACCCCCATCACGAGAATGCACTGAGTAGGACTTCTCTGGCCGATGCTGTATACGCGTGGCCGTGTGAGAGTATTTGGAGAGGGAGGGCGGGCCCACCCCACTCTCTTCCATACCAGGTCATTTGGGGGCAACTCAAATAAAAGATGAATACCAGAAAAGTTATTTGTCGTCTGAATAGAGTAAATAGTAGGAGTACCTGTTTCGTTGTGATTTATCAACCATATAAGAAGTGATTAGCAATACATTATCGCTAAAACAATGTCATTTTTCGGAGCAACTTTGGTTGATATTCCTTGACTTCGTCATTTAGTATGTCCCATCTTCCAAGGCTAATTTTATGGAATAGTTAAACTATCAGTCCAATAGGTATTGTGTCGTACTGTTAAGTCCGAATTCTTTAATAGTGCGATCCACAAAACTACAGGTTTGTTTAGTAGACTATGAATCACGTCTTTTAAAATGTAACGACGATGATATATTAACGTAAAAACTAGGGTTCCATTCGTACGTACGTTCATCAGTTCGAGTTGCCATACCACATTAGCAAAGAGATGCGGTTGTCGATTCAAATTCCGTGGTCGTAGAGGTGGTAAGAATATAAGCAGTAATCGGAAAGATTAGGGTTTGATGATGTTATTCAAGAAGTATAATCCAGTGAAATAAATTTGGAAAGAGAAAAAAGGAGACAAGGAGAATTCAGAAGATTAGAATTTGGGAGAACACAAAGAGTGGATGCACCTGCACCATTGCAAACGATTTTGAGCCATGTCATTTAAGGTCTCTAACCATCGATTGCTGTCATCTCGCGGTCCCCAACCAAATAGTCTACACCTACCAGCATGGCTCAGTCCACTTGTCAGTGACTTCATGGACTCGTGCCATGTTTTGGTCTGGCCGCCCCTAGCTTTCTTCCAACCTACTCCTACACCATAAAACATCGCACGTCGCGGCATTCGGTGGTTGGGCATACGTAACGAATGTCCCAGCCATCTCAACTGGTGAAGTTTCACCACTTCATCAATTGGTTTGCCATCCTTACTAGTACCCATTTCCTAACAACTACATTAATCACTCGGTGGTCCCAGGATATACGAGCAATGTTTCGAAGACACCTATGATCGAATACTAGTAACCCACGAATATCCTCTACTCTTACCGGCCATGTTTCACTGCCGTAAAGTAGAACGGAGTGAACTGCTGAGCAGTAAATTCGTCCTTTGGTTGGTAGACGGATATCTCGCCAACGCCACAAATGACTCAAGTTGGTAAAAGCTAGTTGAGCTTTTTGTATCCGTGCTGAGATTTCGTCACACACCAGACCACAAAGACTGATGAGACTCCCAAGATAAGTGAAGCGGTCGACACCCTCAATTACTTCACTCCCTAACATTAGTTCGGGTATCAATGCAACCCAATCCTGAAGCAACATTTTGCATTTCGAGGGGGAGAATCGCATGCCGAACATGCTTGCATTGTTGCTTAGAGTGGTCAGAAGACTCGGCATTTTGTCAGCATCTTCACCAAATAGAACTATGTCATCGGCATATTCCAAGTCAACAAGTGAATCTCCTAGTAGAAGTTCAACCCCTGGAAATTTAGATGAGGAAAGTGTTATCTCTAAACGTACGTCAATGACAAAGTTAAACAAGAATGGAGAGAGTGGACAGCCCTGACGAACACCACTTGAGGTAATCAATTCTGATGACAGTTCGCCATAAGCTCTCACTCGACCAGTTGTGTTCGAGTAGAGAGTCTTTACAAGGTTAATGTACTTCTTTGGTACTCCTTTCAGTGACAAACACTGCCATAGAACCTCACGACCAACAAAGTCGAATGCTGCTTTAAGGTCGAGAAATACTACGATTGTGGGGCGTCTGAATGTGTGTCTGTGTTCTAGGACCTAACGTGGTCCTTCATGTAATTTCGACCGTGGTTTCAGGAGACCAGGAATAACGTTTCGTGTACTCGAATCATTTACCCTAGTGGTGCGAGATGATAAAGAGATGTGAGAAAGATTAGTCTTGGAGATAAGAGTTCTTAGGAGATGTAGGAAGGATTTGAATGTGACTAACTTGGTCTCATGTTCTGTTACGGGTATGAGGGCTGATATAACTCCTCGGCTGTGCCCACACTATGGTAGGGTATTTCTTGAGGAATCTGAAAAAAAGTCGGATTCGTGTTGGTCTTAACGACTTGGGAGCGTGACTGCAGAGCCCAAGGGTCAACTGCTTGAGGCCGGGTCGCGCACGGCATTTTTGTGGGAGGTTTCTAGCGTGTTAGCTCCGTCCTTTAATGGCCCTTACCATCGGAGACGGAAATCTGCGAGGTAAGGTGGTGTGTAGCATTTTTAGGGTCGACATTCTCTAACTCATCCTTGCTTGTGAGAAGACAGCATCACTGCAGACGCTGGTTGTCCGAGAAAAACATCTTACTGCTGTCACACCTCTCCACAGTCAGCATTACGACTTCACCCTCAGACCTTGAGTTGCTGCTTTTAGTCTTACCGTTCTCCAAACGACCTGTCTGGGATGGTAGAACCTACAGGAACATACGTTCCAGCCGATCTAGCTCGGTTGGGTCATCACGATAGGCTAGTCCTACCACCACGTCAAGGTAGCAGCTACGGTCAGGCTAAAAACATCATCAGATTTATCCTGTATCCTTACGTCTAGCTTCGACAATGAAACTAATTGCCTCTTAGGTAATATTCGAATATTCATCCATTATATACAGCCGTGTAACTGCAACGTAATTCTAGACTACATTATGATCTTTATCTCTTATATATACTCGAGCATATGCATATATATATATATATATATATATATATATATATATATATATATCGGCACGGATTCAAAAGATCAGATTAGCTATTTCCAACTTGTGTCAGTTGTGGCGTAGGTGAGATATCTATTTACTGAAGGACTAGTTTACTGTGCTATATTTTGTTCCGTCCTACTTCATCGATATGAAACGGCTATTAAGAATAGGGGATATCCTTAGTTTACTGGTGTTCAATCCTAAGTAAATTCCAAGCGTTTTTCTTGTATCTTGGAATCACTTACTAAACGATGCTGGGATTAAAGATAGGGTACTAGATAATAGTGTCAAATCGATTGATAAGATAGTAAGTCTTCAACTGATTTAGTTGGGGCGTGTGTTTTGTGTGTCTAGCCATCTCCTACCTTGACTGGCTGTTGTCTGATGTAGAAATGGGTTGGAAGAAATTCGAGGCCCCCCGAACCAATATATCAGTCCATGGAAACATCGACCTTAGGTCTCAGTCATGTAAGTAGGTAAAGACTACTTAGTTGGAATCCACGTGATTATTTTAGCCAATGGTTAGAGACATAGCTCAAAATCGTTTGCAATAACCTTTTTATCTCGCCTATTTATATTTTTCTGAATCATATCTTGGATACTTAGTCTTTTGTATTACCACTAATAGGGTTGCTACCTCTTGTATTTCTTTATTTGAACACAAAAATTGGTTCAAGGGGAGACCCAAATATGTATGTGTCACACAATAAAAATGA